AGTATAGCACAAGAGTACATATAGCAAACAGAGCATGCAAGGTGCACCACCAACAAGAAAGTTATATGACTACAGTATCCTACACTACAGGCAGTTATAGAACAATATATAGAATTATATATATTATTCTGACACACCCCCATAAGTGCGTGTAGGGAAGAATGTGCAGTCAACGCCCCCTGAAGGGGTACACCAAGCGCAGGAGAAGGAGAGGGGAAGTGAGGAGGAGGAGGGACTGTGACAGGAGAGGAGATGGGAGGCGACGGCGGAAGCTGCAGACACACGGCGCAACTGGAGCAACTGGCACACGGGCAACTGGAGCAACAGGCACACTGGCAACTGGAGCAACTGGCACACGGGCAACTGGAGTAACTGGCTCCGCGGCTAGACGAGCGGCAAGAGCAACTGACCCACGGGCGACTGGAGCAACGGGCTCACGGGCGACTGGAGCGACGGGCTCACGGGCGACTGGCGCAACGGTCTTACGGGCGACTGGAGCTGCTAGCTTCACGGCGGCCACCTCCACTCAACCTCCCCCACCTGTCCCACACTCATCACCCCAACACCCGCCACCCCCATACCTCCCACACTCATCACCCCCACACCCGCCACCCCCATACCCACCCCTCCACGGCTGCACCGGGTCCAGGAGCGGCTGCTGCAGTGGCGGCTGCTCCAGGGGCCAGGCGGGTCCTGCAGTGGCGGCTGCTCAAGTGGCCAGGGGCGGCTGCTCCAAGGGCCAGGGGCGGCTGCAGGTGCGGCTGCTCCAGGGGCCAGGGGCGGCTGCTCCAGAGGCCACGGGCGGCTGCTGCAGAGGCAGCTGCTCCAGGGGCGGCTGCTCCAGGGGCCAGGGGCGGTTCCTGCAGTGGCGGCTGCTCCAGTGGCCAGGGGCGGCTGCTCTAGGGGCCAGGGGCGGCTGCAGGTGCGGCTGCTCCAGGGGCCAGGGGCGGCTGCTGCAGCGGCGGCTACTCCAGGGGCCAGGGGCTACTGATGCAGGGCTAGCTGCTCCAGGGGCGGCTGCTGCAGTGGCGGCTGCTCCAGGGGCGGCTGCTGATGGGGCGGCTGCTCCAGGGGCTGCTGCTGCAGGGGCGGCGTCGCCGGTGCAAAGCAGGCCCGCGCGCTGCCGCAAAGCAGGCGCGGGCGCAGGGGAGGCAGAGGCGGCGGCCAGGGGGGGATGCGCCGCGACGAGCAGGTGACGGGGCCACTAAGGGTGGTGACGGGGCCGAGAAGGGCGGCGACGGGGCCACTAGGGGCGGCAACGGGGCCGCGAAGGGCGGCGACGGGGCCGCTAGGGGCGGCAACGGGGCCGCTAGGGGCGGCGATGGGGCCGAGAAGGGGCGGCGACAGGGCCGCGAAGGGGCCGCGAGGGGTCGAGAAGGGCGGCGACGGGGCCGCTAGGGGCGGCAACGGGGCCGCTAGGAGTGGCGATGGGGCCACTAGGGGCGGCGACGGGGCCGCGAAGTGTGGCGACGGGGCCGCTAAGGGTGGCGCGAGGGGCCGTGAGAGGGGCAGCGACGGGGCCGCGAAGAGGCCGTGAGGGGCCGAGAAGGGCGGCGACGGGGCAGGAAGACGCTGCGCGTCCGGGGCGCACGGCGGGCGGAAAACCGCTACGCGCCCTGAGCGCGTGGCGGGAAGAAAAAGGTGTCGCGCGCCACGGGGCGCGCGACAGACAGGAAAGCAGCGGAAGCACGTGGGGCCCACAGGCCAAGAGCATTGTCGCTCTGATTCCATGTTAAGAGACTAAGTAGGCTTAGGAGCCATAGCTTAGGAGGCTTAGTAGCTTGAGTTTGAGGGTGAGGAGAAGTGTCGAGAAAGTTGTGAAGGAGAGTGTGTTGTTCACTATAGCACAAGAGTACATATAGCAAACAGAGCATGCAAGGTGCACCACCAACAAGAAAGTTATATGACTACAGTATCCTACACTACACGCAGTTATAGAACAATATATAGAATTATATATATTATTCTGACAGCAACTTCGTTGACATCCTTTTAAGGGCATGTGCGATTTTTTCAAACTTCCCAAAGTTAGAACTTTTATAACGGCTCTACACTGTAGGATAAATTTGCGAGATGTGTGGCCACAGTGCAAAGCAGTTTGAGTTCGAACTTTTGTTACGACGGGAAGCAGGGCGCGGGGTGCCGCGGCGACGGAAAGCAGGGCACCGCGGCGACGGGAAGCAGGGCGCCCGCGACTACGGGATGCAGGGCGCCCGCGGCAACGAGAAGCAGGGCGCCCGCGGCTGTGGGAAGCGTGGCAGGGAGCAGGGCAGCAGGACGACGGGAAGCGAGGCGCCGTACGGGGCTCGCCTTCGCGGTCGTCGCGGCCGTCAGGCTGAGCGCCTTGATGAGCGTCTCGACGGGCGCGACGAGTGCGGCGACGTGAAACGCGACAGGGAGCGCCATGGCTAGTGGTGGGCCCATGAAAAAGTAGGTTAAGGAGCTTAGTTGCTCTGATACCATGTTAGAATACTAGGAAGGAATGGTGTGGATTAGGGCAAGGAGGGGGATACAATGAAGTGTCGAGCAACTTACTGTACCCCCTAAGGCTAAACCCACTACAGCCTAGATAACAGTAATCATATAATTTGACAACTTTGACAGTTTTCCAAAAATCACACACTAACTTCGTTGCATCATCACGAAATGCTATTGTTAGACTGAAATGTGTGTGTGTGTGTGTGTGTGTGTATGTGTGTGTGTGTGTGTGTGTGTGTGTGTGTGTGTGTGTGTGTGTGTGTGTGTGTGTGTGTGTGTGTGTGTGTGTGTGTGTGTGTGTGTGTGTGTGTGTGTGTGTGTGTGTGTGTGTGTGTGTGTGTGTGTGTGTGTGTGTGTGTGTGTGTGTGTGTGTGTGTGTGTGTGTGTGTGTGTGTGTGTGTGTGTGTGTGTGTGTGTGTGTGTGTGTGTGTGTGTGTGTGTGTGTGTGTGTGTGTGTGTGTGTGTGTGTGTGTGTGTGTGTGTGTGTGTGTGTGTGTGTGTGTGTGTGTGTGTGTGTGTGTGTGTGTGTGTGTGTGTGTGTGTGTGTGTGTGTGTGTGTGTGTGTGTGTGTGTGTGTGTGTGTGTGTGTGTGTGTGTGTGTGTGTGTGTGTGTGTGTGTGTGTGTGTGTGTGTGTGTGTGTGTGTGTGTGTGTGTGTGTGTGTGTGTGTGTGTGTGTGTGTGTGTGTGTGTGTGTGTGTGTGTGTGTGTGTGTGTGTGTGTGTGTGTGTGTGTGTGTGTGTGTGTGTGTGTGTGTGTGTGTGTGTGTGTGTGTGTGTGTGTGTGTGTGTGTGTGTGTGTGTGTGTGTGTGTGTGTGTGTGTGTGTGTGTGTGTGTGTGTGTGTGTGTGTGTGTGTGTGTGTGTGTGTGTGTGTGTGTGTGTGTGTGTGTGTGTGTGTGTGTGTGTGTGTGTGTGTGTGTGTGTGTGTGTGTGTGTGTGTGTGTGTGTGTGTGTGTGTGTGTGTGTGTGTGTTTTTTCTTTTTCTTTTCATGTGAAAGGCCACCATTCCAATCCAGGTTGTAGCAGTTCTAGATCAGAATTAGTTGATAGAATGGAATTTGGAGGAGTGAGTATGTACCATGGTTGGGAGTCAGAACGTAATAAAGAAACAGATCTATGAAGTGGGCTTACATGAGCCCTACCGGCAAATTCGAAGTTAGGGCGGGCACGCCCTTAGGGCGCGTGAGGTCTTTGAAATTTGTAAAAGTTTATGTTTTTAGGGCGAATTTTAGTTTCGAACTTACAACGAAAGAAGTTCGAATTTCCTTCTATCGAAGTTCGAACATCGGGCTTACCACACTGTAAAAAATCACACACACATACAAGGTCGAACCCCGACATTCGAACTTGTAAAAACGAGCCGAGCCGCACGTCAACATCATAGGTTACCCGGTTCGCTCGTCTTGACGGTACCCCACGTCAACATTTTGCGCCTCGGTTTACAAGGACCTAGAGCTCCAACTCACCTTCCGCGCCGAGTGTGTAACCAGGGTACAAATAGCCCCCATGGCAACACCTTGTATGCTGGACACGTGGCTACAACTGTGTGCACGAATTGTGGGGTGTCTTCGTTGTGCAACTTCATGCACTGGCGAAGCGCTCGCCCGTCTCGCCAGCTGTTCGGACGTGCTGCAAATCACACACGCTCGCATGAACGTGCGCACGCACGTTCGCGCCTCCGACTCGAGTCAAGTTCATATTTCAAACTCGAACTTTTGCAGAGCCCATACAATGCTTGGTTCGCGAAGCACCCTTCACGAAATTAGCGAATAGGGTAACCACCCAAAGCTCGAACGTTATTTTGAACTTCTAAACAGCCCACACGCGCCCTTAGCCCACTAGTCTCCTGCAACTTCAAATCACGCGTGCATCTTTGGTTGAAATAGTAATGAATTGTTGCACCTTAGCAATTCGGCTGGATCATTCTGCTAATGGTTTCCATTTCAAGGTAACCCGCCCAGATCCGATCTTACAAGGTTCTTGAAGCTTAGGGATTGCCGAAGCCTAGGCATTGCCGAATGACGAGGCGACGGCGCGGTCGCGCGGCGGTGGTGGTGGTCGGCGATGTGGGTCGCAGCCCTCGCATGCAGTACCACGCGCTGTCGCTAGCCAATCAGGTGAATCCAACTTCTCGCGACAGTTTTCGCCAGCCGTGATCTATACATACTGCTAGCCAATACTCGTTTCGTCAACGCATTCACTTGTTACATGGCGAACAACCCGCGCGGGATTCATTTGCCGAATGTTGTATGAGGTGACAGTAACCTTAATGTGAATAGTGATTTACTTTCAAGGCCGCTAAGTATGCTGGAAAGTTAAGAACAGTGAGTTGAATATGCCTTATCCTGCGCTACCGTGCTGCAGCCAATAGATCCTTTCAATGGACTCCTATCGCGGCGCCATTGTCACCAAGTTTACGAATTGCGTTACTTAACATGTCACGGAGTATCTTATAGTGAGTATTATCGATTCGCGTTACTTATGGTACGTTCCCTCTTGTGATTGTTGCTTCGGAACGTGCAGGCGGGACTAGAAGTCGACCTTATCGGCTACGCAGGTTAGTCTATATCGAGAGTACGGAATGGAAGTACTAGGTTTTTTATCAGAATCGAAAGGGTTATTGGATCGAATGAAGCCTGCACATCATTCGACAAAACCTGACATTGCTGTATCCATGTGCAATTCGAGAAAAGAAAGTTTCGTTCTCCGCTCATAATAATATCCTCACCATTTTCCTGCTTACTGCTCCGTTCTTCCCTTCCCTCTGCTCCACCCCTCTATTCCGCGTGTTGCTGTTTGTTTTTCGTCCCATCCCATGCTCTCTCCTGTCTCCCTTCCTGTTTCCCCCTACTCCTCCCCCTCCCCCTCCTCCCCCTTCTTTCCCTTCTCCCCCTCTCCCCCACCTTCCCGTCCCTCCTCCCCGCTGCCTTATCCGCTTTTCCGTTTCCTCTGCGTTTGCTCAAGATTCCATTCCCTTTGTGGAGTTGACTTCTGAGAATTCTCAGAAGTTTCCTCTGCGTTTGCGCAAGATTCCATCCCCTTGTGCTCCCCACACTCCAAACCTCCCCCGCTCCCCCCTCTTTTTCCCCCCCGTTTCCCTTTTCCATCCCCTCTCCCTCCCCCGTCCCCCCCTCTCCCCCTCCCTCCCCTCCGTTACCCCCCGCCCTTTCATTGTCAAAACCCTAAACCCTTCTCCGCAGGGTCGCAGGTGCACCCCTCGGTGGCGGAGCATCCGCGCATTCACCTGCGCCTGCTGGTGAGGAAGTGGGGGGGATTACAGGGGAAACGAAAGGTAGGGCTTCTGATGGCAAAGCATCCACGCATTCACCTGCGCCTGCTGCTGCTGCTGCTGCTGTCCACTTTCATTCCTTGCTTCCCATCTTCCCGCCTCCTCCTCTCCCCATGTCCCCAGGGTGCCCTTCCCCAGTGGCCTCTCGCATTGCCCAAGTGCTCTGCTTCCTCCCTCTCCCCCCTCCCCTCCCCCCCCGTTTCTCCCCACCTCTCGCCCCTTCTCTCCCCCCATTTCCCCCCCATATTCTCTCAATGTATCAGGGCATGCCCTTCCCCAGCGGCCTCTCCCGCCCGCTCTACCTGCTGCTGCTACCGATCAAGCTCATCGCTCAAGTCCTCTGCTTCCTCCCTCCCGCCCCTCCACTCCCCCTTCTTCTTCCCCCCTTCTCTCCCCGTCTCCCCAGGGCATGCCCTTCCCCAGCGGCCTCTCGCGCCCGCTCTACCTGCTGCTGCTGCCCATAAAGCTCATCGCCCAAGTGCTCTGCTTCCTCTGGGTGCTCTGCGTCGCCACGCCTCCCCCCGATTTCTACCTTCTCCAGGTGAGGGCCAGAGTGAGTGCTCCGTGTCGTGCCTTCTTTCCCCTAAACCCCTTGTGCTTCGGTTCTGCCTTCTTCTAGCACTCTCGCTGCCCATCAAGCTCATCCTCCAAGTGCTCTGCTTCCTCTGGGTGCTCTGCATCGCCACGCCTCCCCCCGACATCTACCTTCTACAGGTGAGTGTTTAGTCTTCTCGTCTCCCCCCTCCCCCCGACTCCTGTCCCCCTTGCTTTTTCTTCCACTCCTTCTCTCCCCTCCCATCTTCCCCTCAAAACCCCCCCACCATTCCAACCCTCTCAGTGGTTCGTGTCGCTGGCTTAGTACGGCAGGCGTCGTTCGCCATTGACTGGCACGACTTGGGCTCCACACAACGTTGGCTTTTCTTTTCCTTTCTTCCCCTTTCCTGCCTAAAAACCCTCCTCCGCACCAGCCCTCTCTGTGGTTCGTTCGCCGTTGACTGGCACAACTTCGGCTCCACACAACGTTGGCTTTTCTTTTCTTTCCTTCCCCTTTCCCCCCCAAAACCCCCCCTCCGCCCCAGCCTTCTCAGTGGTTTGTGTCGCTGGCTTAGTGCGCCGAGCGTCGTTCGCCATTGACTGGCATGACTTGGGTTTCACACACGTTCCAAACCCCTCCTGACCCTTCTTTCCCCCCTCCTCCCCTCCCCTGGCTGGGCCCCTTCCTTCCCCATCCCTCTTCACAAACCCCCTGCCGCCATCCCCACCCAACCATCCCCACCACTCCCTCCCTGCTCCACCCTTCTCTGCTCCCCTTCTCCCCCTCCCCCCAAACCCCGTCCCCTGGCCTTTTTCCCTGCTCCTTCTCGCCTCTCCCCTCCCCCTTCCCCATCCCTCAGAACCCCCCGACCATCCGCACCTTCACAGTGGTCCGGATCGCTGGGCTAGCGCTCAGAGCATGTTTTTTTGAGAATTCTCAAAAAACATGCGCTGCTCACAGCCTTGTTCGTGATCGACTGGCACCAACTTCGGCTTCACTCTCTTGGGACATCCCAAGCCCCTCCTCTGCCCTCTGTCCCCCTCCTCCCCGCCCCCTCCCTTTTCATCCCCACCTTCACAGTGGTGCGCTTCGCAGGGCTAGTGCGGCGGGCCTCATTCGTGATCGACTGGCTCAACTGCCTCTTTTCTTCCTCCTCACCCTGCCGCCCCCCCCCCCCCCCCCCCCCCCCTCCCGAGCCTCCTTCGCATTAGACTGGCACAGCTTCGCCTTCACTCTCTTTGGACAACCCCACTCTTCTCCTCTTTTTACCCCCTCCTCCCCGCCCTCCTTCCCCCCCCCCCCCACCCCCAACCCACTCCCCTCAGAACCCACCCACCATCCCCACCTTCACAGTGGTGCGCTTCGCTGGGCTAGTGCGGCGGGCCTCATTCGTCATCGACTGGCACAACTTCGGATTCACTCTCTTTGGCCTACGTTTCGGCCCCGCACACCCCCTCGTGAAGATCCACAAGTGGTGTGTGCTGAAGGTTTTCATAGGGGTGCAGTGTGGTTGAGGTCTCTCCCTGTGCACGGTGGTTTGGCTTCCTCGCACGCTGTAGCCTCGTTTGTCATTGACTGGCACATCTTTGCCTTCCCTCTCTTTGGCCTACGCTTTGGCCCCGCACACCCACTCGTGACGATCCACATATGGTGCGTGCGTTCTGAAGGGATTTTCTAGGGGCGCGTGAAGTGAGGGTGTTTTTGAGGCGTCTCAAAAACACCCTCACTTCACACCCACTCGTGACGATCCACATATGGTGCGTTCTGAAGGGATTTTCTAGGGGCGCGTGCCTGTCTTGTTGCGTTGATGAGTGCGCTGCAGTATGCCATGCCTTTGGCTGCACTCCCTTTGGCCTCCTCTTCAGCCCCGCACACCCACTCGTGAAGATCCATAAGTAAAGCGCTTGTATGCGTTTGTTTGTGGTTCGGGGGGGGGAGGAAGGGAGGGAAGGGGGGATTGTTTGTGTGGGAAGGGGAGGTGGATGGGTGCTATCACTCTATTGAAATCACTTTTGAGAATTCACAAAAGTGGTTTGGGTAAGAAGGGGAGGTGGATGGGTGCAATCACTCTTGACACAAACTCAATCTCAAGAGACACAAACACAACCTTGGCTCCACTCTTTGGCCTCCACTTTGGCCCCACACACCCCCTCGTCAACGTCCCTCCACACCTCATCATGAACAACCCTGCACACCCCCTCGTCAACGCCCCTCCACACCTCATCATGAACAACCCTGCACACCCCCTCGTCAACGCCCCTCCACACCTCATCGTGAACAACCCTGCACACCCCCTCGTCAACGCCCCTCCACACCTCATCGTGAACAACCCTGCACACCCCCTGCCCCGTGCCGCCTGCCCTCTGTCTTCCTCCCCATGCCTCTCATCCGCCCCCCCTCAAACCCCCAGGTACGAGACCACCATAGCACGCCAAGCAGCGGCACACATATGTGTCACTCGAGCCATGCACATAACACCGTCTGCCTCCTTGCGTCTGCCCCTTTCCTTCTGCCCCCGTGCATCTGTCCTTTTTTGCATTCGCCACCATGCTTCCCGCCAGGTACGAGACCACCATAGCACGCCAAGCAGCGGCACACATATGTGTGACTCGAGCCATGCAGCAGGAGCTGGCGAACAACTGGGATATACGGTGAGGTGGGGAGTGGTGAAGAGGGGTGACGTGTAAGGGGTTGCAGAGCAGTGTAAAGGGGTGCAGATGCGGAAACAACACCAAGAGTGAGTTTTTCCTGTGTTTCCTGTGCTGCTGCTGCCATGTTGTTATGTATGCCTGCCATGCCCCTCTGTTTTGCGTGCTTTACATGCTTCTTAGATCTCATCTGCTCCTTGGTGCTTTTCTGCTCTCCTTTCTTCTCTTCTCTCCATATGCCTCCCTACCCATGCGCCTTCAGAGCCACTGTTCTGTACGACCGCCCGCCTGCCTTCTTCCGACCCAGCACCTTAGAGGAGATGAGAGAGGTGTGCATGGGTTGGGAGAGGCCGGGGATAGTTTGGGAGAGGTGTGCATGGGTTGGGGAGGGTGCAGGATGTGTTGGGAGGGACGTGGGTGGGCGTGGGCAGGGAGAGGTGAGCATGCCACTCCCAAGCCATTCCCCCATTTCCCACTCCGCCAATCAAGCTTTTGACACTCTGCCTACAAACACACCGAATAAGAATACTAGAGTTCGCACGCTCTGTTTGCCCCACTCCCCCCTGTCTTTTGAGTTGACTCAAAGGTCATCTCTTTTCCCACTCTGCCTTCAAACACACCGAATCAGAGTGCAATCGTTTGCACACTCTCTTTGGCCCACTCCCCCTGTCCCATCTCCACGCCCCACACTGCTTCCCCTGCTCCCTTTTCCCCTTACCCCACTTCCCTCTTCTCACTCCCCTTTTCACACCCCCTCCCCACGCTCCCCTCCCTCCACTCCCCTCCCCCAACTCCCCTTCCCCCACTCCCCTCCCCCAACTCCCCTTCCCCCATTCCCCTCCCCCCACTCCCCTCCCCCCACTCCCCTTACCCCCCCCCCCCCCCCCCCCCCCCCCCCGCTCTTTCCCCCCCGCTCCCTTGGTCCCAACAGGTTCTGGGGCGCATCGACCAATCACTGCTCGACAGCTGTTTCTCCCCACCTGCACCCGGTACGCATGTAGCTCCAAACTGTCTGTGCCATGTCTTCCCCACTCCACTTCCCCTGCCCCCATTCCCCCAGCCCCCTTCCACTAGGCTCCATGCCCCTAACCCTCTTCTGCCTCCCCCTCAATTCCGTTTGTTTGGAGTGCGTTCCACTTTCCCCTGCACTTGGGAGTGTTTTCAAAGCCTTTCCGATTACCATCCTCTGTGTGCTACCATTGGCATGGCATGCAAGTACTGAAATCACTCTTGAGAATTCTCAATAGTGATTCCTCTGTATGTTACCATTGGCACGGCATGCAAGTACTGAAATCACTCTTGAAAATTCTCAAAAGTGATTCCTCTGTATGCTACCATTGGCATGGCATGGAAGTCCCCTCTGCATGCCATCCCTTTTGAGGCGCCTCAAAAGTCACACTTTGAAGTGTTTTCAAAGCCTTTCCCATTACCATCCTCTGTATGTTACCATTGGAATGGAGTGACTCCTGTGCTACCATTGGCATGTGGGGGAATGGTATGGAAGTTCCCTCCGCATGCCCCCCCGCATCTCAGGTCTGCTTTCTCATCACCACACCTTGCCGCACCTCATTACACCTCACTGCACCTCACTCCACATCACTCTGTGCACCACACCATGTCAGAGCACACGCATCACACCGCGTTAAACCGCGTCTCACCATTTCTTATTGCATCGCACCGCGTCTCACCACATCAGGAACCACACAGTGGACTCTCAGACCAGACCGCCCTGCCCTTGTTGTCAGCAGCTCTAGCTGGTGAGTGGCCGTTTCTGTCTCATGTTGATGTGCTGCTAGAGGCAGCTCTCATGTATGACAGGCGCGTGGCATGGCAGCGATGGCTAGAAAAGAAGTCTCCCACTCCTTCCAACTCCTTCCCACCGCACTATACACCCACTGCACGACTGCAGACGAGGATTTTGACGTGTTGCTCGAAGCAGCGCTCATGTAGGACCGGCGTGTGGCAGGCAGCGATGGCAGGGGAGGGGGTTTTTGGAAGAGAGGAAGGAGGCGAGGGGGATTGGCTTCACAACCTTTTCACTCCTTTGAACCTGTCTCCACCTTCTCACACACTGCAGGACTGCAGACGAGGATTTTGACGTGTTGCTAGAAGGAGCGCTCATGTATGACAGGCGCGTGGCAGCAATGGCAGGCGAGGGGGAGTTTGGAGGAGAGGGAGGAGGCGAGGGGGAACGAGGTGCTGCTGTTGGCGTTCCTCTGCTGGATTGCAAAAAAGCCGATGGGATATCAGCGTCGGCAGTGGCAGCAGAAGCAGCAACAGCAGCAGCAGCAGCAGCAGGGGCAGCAGGAGTGGGAGGAGATTCGTCTAGTGCAGGGTCAAGAAAAGAAGGGGAAGGAGAGGGCGAGCGGGGAGGGGCGGTGACGACAGGAGCAGCAGGAGTGGGAGCAAGTGGAGGGAGGTTGAAATCTGGAGCCAAGTTTCCCACCCTGGCGTTTATTGTCACGGGTGAGTTTGCTCGTCTAGGGGGAGGGGAGGGTTCTAGAAACGGAGCGGCAGGAGTGAGTGAGCGGGGAGGGGGGGGATGATAGCAGCAGGAGCAGGAGTGGGAGCAGGAGTGGGAGCAAGTGGAGGGAGGTTAAAATCTGGAGTCAAGTTTCCCACCCTGGCGTTTATTGTCATGGGTGAGCACCTTTAGAGGCGACTTTCAGCACTCAAAAGTCTCCCACCCTGGCGTTTATTGTCACGGGTGAGCACTTTTCGAGGCGGAAAGCATGAGACGACTTTTGAGGCACCTCAGAAAGATATCTCCCACTTGGCGTTTATCGCTGAGAATTCATTGGTAGGAACTTTTTTTGATATCTTCTTAGGCACACCTTTCTTCAATCTCTCTTCCCCCTCTTCCGCCTCTTCCCCCTCTTCCCCCTCTTCCCCCTCTTCCCCCTCTTCCCCCTCTTCCCCCTCTTCCCCCTCTTCCCCCTCTTCCCCCTCTTCCCCCTCTTCCCCCTCTTCCCTCCCTTCTCTCTCTCGTCCCTCTTCCCGCTGTTAGGCAAAGGAGCCCTCCGATCGCACTACGAAGCAAAGATGCGACGGCTCAGATTGCGCCACGTGTCGTTCCGAACCGCATGGCTTGCTCCGGAGGATTACCCGAGGCTGCTAGGCTCGGCGGACCTGGGCGTGTCCCTCCATACCTCGTCCTCAGGCTTGGATCTGCCTATGAAAGTGGTGGACATGTTTGGGTGCGGCCTTCCCGTCTGCGCCATCTCCTATTCCTGGTGAGTGCTGGGCGGAAGAATGTTACAACACACAACCCCTCGGGCCTGGATTAGCTCAGGCTTGGATCTGCCAATGAGAGTGGTGGACATGTTTAGGTGCGGCCTTCCTATGCGCCATCTCCTATTCCTGGTAAGGCATTTCTGGTGACTCTTTCCTGATAAGGCCCTGTTAGAAGCTAAGTTGGAAAAAACGCGTTTCGCGTTTAGTACGCTTTCGTATAAACGCTAGCGTCTAAACGCAAAACGCTGGCCGGGAGGGGTCTGGTACGCACAAGAATCCGCTTGCCCGGGCAGGAAAAACATTTCCCCCGGGCAGGTTAGATGCCAGGCCAAGAGATGGAAACTGGAGCTGCTGTAGTAGTCCACTACCTAATTGCTGCTTTAGTAGGTCATCGCCGCAAGTGAAATAAGAAGGGGAGGAAGAAATCAAAGAGAGATTATCGACGGAAAAAGCGGCCTGACATTGAGTGGGGAGGATGAGTTTGGTAGAAGTTGGCAACAAATTGGATGGGGTGGAGTGGCTTGTTGAGCGGTGGATAGGAGGGGATGATCCACCAAACAATCTCGAAATTCAGATCTGAAGTCACATTTGCAATTCGCGAACTCAGGTCAGAATTTCGAGACTCAAATTTGAGCTCGCCAGATCGCGGACTCTAACAGATTTTTTTTTCCGGTCAGCCCGAGAGAAATTTGGCGAATTTTAGGAAAATCCGCAGCGTACGAATTTTAGATGCGTATAAACTCAATACGCAATCTCAAAGTAGCGTTTTTTCCAACTTAGGTTAGAAGGCTTGGTCTCCCCAGGCTTTGATTGAAAGTGGTTGATGTGTTTGGCTGCGGCCTTCCCGTGTGCGCCATCTCCTATTCCTGGTGAGTGCTTGTGACGATTTCCTATGTGAAATTCCCACGACAACTCACAACAACTCTCAGCCCTGGATGTGGCCCGAAATTGATGTGAATATGTTCAGGTGCGGTCGTGTGTAGTGAGTCGTGTTTTGAGTCGACTCAAAACACGACAACTCACAACAACTCTCAGCACTGGATGTGCCCTGAAATAAATGAAATTGGTGAATATGTTCAGGTGCAGCCTTCCCGTGTGCACCATCTCCTATTCCTGGTACGAACATTTCAAGGGCTGAACATTCCAAGGGCTGAACATTTCAAGGGCTGAACATTCCAAGGGTTGAACATTTCAAGGGCTGAACATTCCAAGGGCTGAACATTCCAAGGGCTGAACATTCCAAGGGCTGAACATTCTAAGGGCTGAACATTTCAAGGGCTGAACATTCCAAGGGTTGAACATTTCAAGGGCTGAACATTCCAAGGGCTGAACATTTCAAGGGCTGAACATTCCAAGGGCTGAACATTCCAAGGGTTGAACATTTCAAGGGCTGAACATTCCAAGGGCTGAACATTTCAAGGGCTGAACATTCCAAGGGCTGAACATTCCAAGGGTTGAAAATTTCAAGGGCTGAACATTCCAAGGGCTGAACATTCCAAGGGCTGAACATTCCAAGGGCTGAACATTCCAAGGGTTGAACATTCCAAGGGCTGAACATTCCAAGGGCTGAACATTCCAAGGGTTGAACATTCCAAGGGTTGAACATTCCAAGGGTTGAACATTCCAAGGGTTGCACATTCCAAGGGTTGAACATTCCAAGTGTTGAACATTCCAAGGGCTGAACATTCCAAGGGCTGAACATTCCAAGGGTTGAACATTCCAAGGGCCGAACATCCCGTATTCCCGCTCCTCCCCTCCCCTCCACAGTTTCCGCTTGCCTGTAGCATCCACGAACATCCAAGGCTTGCCTGTAGCATCCACGGACATCCAAGGCTTGCCTGTAGCATCCACGAACATCCATCGCCTTTATCCCCCCCTCCCCCTCCCCCTCCCATCCACCACCTTAATGTTTTGTTTTCCCCACCTGTAGCATCCACGAGCTAGTCAAGGGCAGCACCAACGGCCTCCTCTTCTCAGACTCTCTGTCCACCTTTTTCTATCCCCCTCCCTTTCCATTCCCTTATACTTCCCCCCTCACGGTGTTTTTTCTTTCTGTCCAATCAGCATCCACGAGCTAGTCAAGGGCGGCACCAACGGCCTCCTCTTCTCAGACTCCTCAGCGCTCGCCTTCCCCATCCTCTTTGTCATATCCATCTCCTTTTCCCCCTTGTCTGTCCAACCAGCATCAACGAGCTAGTTAACGACGGCACCAACGGCTTCTTCTCAGACTCTCCCATCCCTCCCTCTCCCCCACTCCCTCCCCTCCCCTCCCCGCCTTCCCCCCTCCACCCTCAGCATTCACGAGCTAGTAAAGGACGGCACCAACGGCCTTCTCTTCTCAGACTCCTCAGAGCTCGCCTCGCAACTTATTGACATCTTCTGCGGCTTTCCAGAAGGTTCTGCTGCTCTCAAGGCCCACTCCCCTGCCACTACCACCACCTATTCCTCCACCTTGGCTTCCTCTTCCTCCTCGGGTGCCTTATCCACACCTCCCATGTCACCCACATCTCCTTCATCCACTCCCTCCTCCGTTACTCTGCTTCAGAAGCTAAGGTCAGGTGCACTTGCAACAGGGGCTGCTGGTAAATGGGCCGATGAATGGAGCGTGAACGTCCTTCCCTTGGTGGAGAGATTATCCGGGGGTGATTTAAGAGGTGTAATGAGGTGAATGGGTGTAAATTTGTGATATTGTGGGCTTATATCATGTGGATGAAATATTTCAGCTGGTCTGTGGATGCAAATGGTTAGCTTGTATTCTTACTCTCTTACTGATTCTGGTGTAATTGAATTTTTTATTTTATATCTTATTCTCACATGTATGCGCTATTCTAAATATGATAACACCTTGGAGTTGTCACACCCCTAAAAGCACGGGAATTCTCGTTGCCAGCTCAGCAGAATCATATGTCGGATCAACGGCAGAGAGAGGGGGAGGTGTGAGTGGGACGGTTGGTTTGGTTTGGGGTTGCTGCTTGCCCTACGGATCAGCTTGGCGCGGAAAGGACCATTATCTGAGTTTCGAGTTCGGCAGGGAATGACAGGGTGGGGTTCCGATACGGGCAGCTACTATAAATGAAACTGGATCTGCTCTACGTGTACGTTCATGGAAACATGGGCTTTTTGGAGATGAAGGGTCCCAAACTCCTCACCACCACTCAAATTTCTTCGGCAAACGGAAAGCATGACATGCCATGATCACGCCAATCATCAAGGACCTTCCAGTGCTGGAAATGGACGAAAGCGTCGAGGCCAAACCGAGCACCGTCCTTGGCAGTTGCTATTTGCAGTTTCCACCGTGAACAAGGAAAAAGAATGGCATTTGCTGGGTTGATATTTAGGACGTGTCACGGTTTGCCTCTGATCGGCTATCTGGTCGGGGTTAATCAGGTCGGGGCGCCCTTAAATTCGTCGAGTATTCCAGGTGTTTGCCTGGCATGCGTGTCACCCTTTCCTTCCAACTTCGTGCCCACTTTGGCGAGGGCGAAGACCTCAGCCTGGAACTAGCGAAGCTCAATGTTTCCCTGTGATTTCGCATCAAGAGGCGTCCAGAAAGTTCTTGCCAGGGTATTGGTTGTGCGAGGGCTTCACGAAGCCCTCCACAACTCTGTAGCTGTTCGATGGCGTCGCTAGGTACCCCAACCCAATACAATCAACTGATTGTCGGTGATTGTGTGGGTTGTGTTTGAATCGGCTGTTGTAGGCGGTTGATCGACTTGGAGCGATCAGCTGATCGCGATCAGGTGATTGCCCCCGATTGCCCGAAATCGCTGCCCTAGCTTCCTGGAAGTGATTGATCGACTCTGATCGGGGCGATCAGAAGCAAACCGTAATACATCCTTAGTGCTAGCCCTCCTCAAGAAATCAACAATTACTGTTTTTCTTGCACGGGAATCTTGAAATGATGCACTGCCTGATGCTGCCCGTATTGCTTCCGCGTCTCGGAAAGGCGGTGTCATAAACAGTAAAACCAGGAACTCTATGGTACATCTCACTCTCAAACCCTTTGTACAAGGTGTACTCTGGAGGATTGCTGATAGATAGAAGTTGGTGTGAAAATGGCGGCCCTGGAAATATATTAATAAGCTTTTTGCTCTGTTCTTACTCCGGGCTAGTGAGGCTGATAATTTATTCTAACCCTGAAGAGGGTAGTTTTGTTACAGTTCTAGGAGACAAGACAAGACAAGAATCTCCACAAGGCACTGCTTGACAGGCAAGACAAGGTCCCAACCCAATTGATTTCAAGGTCCTGGTTTCGAAATGACGCGGGTTTTGCCAGAAAAGGTCAACAACGTGACTTGCAGATCTAGCCATCTCCAGCGAGTCCACCTGGCCATGGATGGCATGGCATGGCATGTGGCAAGGTGAAAGGGACCCATCCCCATTCCTTCTCTCTGCTCACCATTTCTTTCCACCTCACGACGACTGGTGCTGCCCTACCCTTCTCCCCAATTCCCAATTTACAGGTAACATTGGGTCCACAGAAACTGTTTCGTGCAAACAAACACAATCGGAACTTGGAATGGAATGCCAGCTCGAAAACAAACGAACATAACGGGTAGGGAATCTAATCGCCTAGTTTACAGCTTGCATCTTCTTTTCCAGCGTGTTTTCTCTGCGCGTGTCTGCGTGCTCGCGAGTTTACCCAGTTGCTACTCATCGCCTCAACTCGCCTCGCCTCTCCTCTTCCCCTACAATCAACTGTTTTTACAGCCCAATGAAATATCAGCCTGCCGTAATTGTTCCTTTCCGTTCCGTTCCACTTGAGATACACCTTCACTCTCAGTCTTCTCACCGGCGGAAGCAGTGGCTACAGTGTTTGGACGTAGCGGGCTAGTGAGATAACTCGGTTGCGGGCCAAGTCGCACGAGGCGACGAAACCAGACTTGGGCCGTAAAATTCCGTTAACGCTGAATAACTGTCTTAACCGTTCATAAAACAGCATTACCATTTAAGAACGTATAGAACCTTGACTAAACGCCCTGGGTCAAACTGTCAGTATAACGCATGTGATAGGACCTTCTTTGGTCCGCTGCGGCTACACTAAGCGTCGCTGTCAGTATAACATATGCCAGTCTAACGAGAATGAGGGTGTACCGATCATACACAAGTCCCACTGCCAGTGCAAATCCCATGTGCTCTGATTCCTGTCTGTCCCCTGACACTGACCTCGGTCCCACTGCCCACTTCACCACTGGTCCTATCATTTCCATCCACGCATCCCTTCTCCTTTTCACGTCGGTCTGTGGAAACCTCACGACGGACAAAGATCAAGGAAGCGGAACTCCGGTACTCCTTCTTTTTCCGAGGAGAATTGGCTCAGACATAGTTGCACCATTGGCGCTCCTGATATTGCAATGGAAGCGGACCTTATTGCAGCCAAGTTCGAAATGGACGAGCTTTACTCCAAAATTACGTCGTCCATGCCTCCTCCAAGCTCCTCGGGCAACGCTACCTGCGATCCCCGTGTCACTGAAGCCGGCAAGCCCAACCTGGGCAGACGGCTCGCCGTCCGTCTTCTTGTCGGTGGCGACGTCGAATCCAATCCCAAAACCCTCGCCGCCGCAGCCGCCGTAAATGCCGCCGCAAAAGGCAAGGCGCTAGCTCCCGATATCGACATACTCGCCAATGTCAAGCGCGTTACTAGACCTCCCGTTGGTAGCTCCCGCCTATCTTCGGTCACGTGCGCGCCGGCACCCGCGGATCATTCACCCGGGGAGTCCTCCGCAGGTCCCAGCAAGCCTGCATCCGCGGCGGAAGTTGCGCAAGGCTCGCGGAGCAACAGGTCTGCGCAACACGCTGTTGTCGCGCGGAAGCCGCGCGCCGCCAGGCCTTCCGCGAGCAGCATTTTCCGCGCCTCCAGCGTCTTGTGCGAACGACAAGCAGCCATTGCCATATCCCTGGAACCCACCAGCAGCATCGACAGCAACAGCAGCACCGCGTGCGAAAAGCCGTCGCAGGACGACCCGATGGACGAATTTTTCGCGATAATGGAGCAATTCGTGGAGGAGCCTGTTGAAATGGAGTATCTCCGAGCCGCGGAGGCCGCCAGGCGGAACCGGAAGGGCCCGAGCGACGCAACCGGCGCAAGCGGCGCAAAGGGTGGCAAGCCGCAGGTCACTCGCCAAAAGTCACAAAGTAAAGAGTTCGCTCGCCAGCCTTCCTTTCAGGAATCGCCCGTCGCCGCCTCACCCGCGCAAGCCCCTGTCACGCAGAGTCGCCATCATCAACGCCAGAAGAGCTTCGCTGGTGTTTTCCCAAATACCTTCAACGATCAGACAACAAGCGCTACCGGCCACGGTACTGGTTCGATTCACTCGGGCTCGTTCGAGTTGAACCCTGCGTTACAGTCACATCACCGCTCGGCGTCAATCTCGCAGAATCATCACCACGCGCGCCGGCCCAGCCGCGTAGGAGACATGCTCGAATCGTCCCCCTCCGTATCCATGCGCGAAACCTCGGTAGCGGCAACACCCAGTGGTAACCGCCGGTTGTCGCACCCTTCAGTGCCTCGCGAAAGCTCCCGTTCGTTCTGCGACCGGGTCACCCAAGTGGAGCCGGCCGACGAAGCGCGGCTGGCGGGAGCGAATGGAGCTGCTGCGGGTATTGCGGCTTCGGCGAGTGCCAGCATCGGCCGCTCCGCAGCAGTTTCTTTCGCGCGTTCAAATTCGTTTTCCATGGCCGCCCGTGACGTTTCCTCTACTTCGCGGGACCCACGGGAACAGCAGGAGCAGCGCGAGCAACAAAGGGAGACCGAAGTTTTCGAGGCGTCGCAGCAGCGGGAGCTCGAGTCGCTCATCGACGCGCTCAAGGCGGAGATTTGCGCCAAGGACCAGCTTCTGGGAGCGTCGGAAGGCGAGCGGAAATTGTTGGAGGAGGAGCTTCGCAGCGCGTGGGATCACGTGGCGGATTTGGAGCGCCAGCTGGAGGGCATGCAGGCAGCAGGCGCAGCGATGGAGCGGGAAATCGATTCCCTCCGCGCACAGGCGTACAAACGCTCTCCGCGGCGTGGCGGAAGCGAAGGGGACATGGCGGTGGGGAATCATATTTTGGAGATGGAGCGGGCTTTGGGGGAGCTCACGCGCAAGCTTGCGGCGACGGAGAGTGCGCTTCAGCGGTCTGAGGCGCAAAACTCAGAACTGTCCGGCAAAGTAGCTGTGCGGGAGGACGAGCTTGGGCGGACAAAATCCGCACTGCAGCAGGCTGAGCTGGAAAGGGATTCGCTCGCCGACGAAATGGAGGCTGCACTTGCGAGCTGGGCGGCAGACAGTCCCCGAATTTCCCCTTCCAGTGCAGATCCCTCTGCAGCAGCTGGCGAAATCCAAAAGCAGGAAGCTGCGAAACTCGCGAATGCCCTCCAGGCAGCTCAGCGAGAGCTTCAAGTCGTGCAGGCGGAGCGAAATTCGCTTCTCTTGGCTGTTGGGCAGCCCAGGCGACAGGGGCCGCGACCCTCCACGAGTAACCAGTGCAATGGCGGGAGTCGCAATCGCTCGCTCACCCCTCCCCCAAATCACTCCCGTGCGACTTCTTTCTCCGCGTCTAGTTGTAGCGGGCCCATGGAACTCCAGCGGAACTTCGGCATGGAGGCATCACCGCCTCCTGCGGGACAGCAGAAGGGTCGCCATGTGCACTTCTCACCCCGCACTGCGGACGTGAAAGTCTCTGCCAATTAGGGTGCCGTACTAAGGGCATATGTCTTCTAGTTTATCTCGCCCCACTTGGCACTCCTTGTGGGGAGCCACCATGGTTTTTCATGTATGGGCGACAATTGTGTAGGCTTGATCCGTTCTATGCTACAAGCTCCTACCCACTATCTTGGCCTAGACGACCGATAAAGGACTGCCTGCCAGCAAAATTTTCTTGGCTTGTTGTGACATGCACGTCTTTAACCCATTTCAATTTAACAACCATATTTTCGAAACTATCCGCTTACTGCATTCAGCTTTCGATTTGAAGACTCTGGGCTTAGGAAGGTTGGTTGGGTAGGAACTTACTATTGGCCAGCGAGGTCTGGGAGTGTCGAAGACGTTGGACGATGTTCGCGTGCTAAATCATTTTCGCCCGAGTTACCCGAAGTCTAGTGCGACAGACACACCCCCAACAATCGATCGCCCAGACCCCCATACGACCAGTCACCACACCCCAGCTCAACATTTCGTCCATCGAGAACACACCACTTCGATGACCTAAGTAAGCGGAGATAGTAGCTATTCATCATAGTCCGTCCAAGGGCCTCTGCCTGAGTGTCACCTGTTTCACGAGATACGAATGTGCATGCGAAGAAAGGGAGCGTCCAGCTTTTCCCTTGATAACAGCGACATTTATGCCTAGGATAACGCAGCGCGCTTGCAAGTACAGCAGGCACATTCAAGCCGCCAACTGCTTACCACCTACATTCCCTACCCTCACCTTGCCATTGCGGTTGCTCACGCCGCCAGCAAGTTCCGCCACGATTGAATGCGGTGGTGGCGCCACGATTCGGAACTCCAAACGCCGCTAATCGGTAGTCCTCACACCATGCCCCCTACCTCTCGGTCGAGCACGCCCCGTCCCATTCGCGTCCATGCGATTCAAAATAAGATCGGACCGCATTTTTGTTACTCTCACGCTAATGCATAGGAAATCCTTCACGCCACTGCACCACCATCCCCTCACACCTCACTTTCCGGACATCTCTAACGTCCCACTGACTCCCGTCGTCCCCGCAACCTGCACCAGGGTTTGCGTCAACTGTCACACTTCGCTGATGCCTCACCCTTCACTTCCCCCTCCCGTCGCCTTCATTTCCCCCTCCCGTCACCTCCACATCCCCCTCCCGACGCCTTCACTAATCCCCTCCTGCCGCTTTTCCCTTTTCCCTCCCGTCGCTCCTCACTTCCCCCTCCCGTCGCTCCTCACTTCCCCCTCCCGTCGCTCCTCACTTCCCCCTCCCGTCGCTCCTCACTTCCCCCTCCCGTCGCCTACACATCCCCCGCCCGTCGACTGCACTTCCCTCTCCCATCGCCCGCGCTCCCCCCTCCCATCGCCCTGCTCATTGTCCCGTCCCCCTCTGTCTGTCTCCCCTGCTCATTCTCTTCCCCCTCCCCCCCCCCAATCCCCCACCCACCCTTCCTCAAGTTGTTGGTTCACTTGCGCTAACGCATCCTGCGCCAATGCTCCCCTTTTTCCCACTCCCACCATCCCCTTTCCACCCCCGCCTGCCCCCCTTCTCCTGCAGTCGCTGGTGCACTCGCGCCATCAGTGAGTGTGGGGCAGCAGCATCACCGGCGCCTCTGCCGCGCTGCTCCTCGCCTTCCCCCGCCTGCTCTCCGCCAACCTCTCCTGGACTGCCCTCTCCCACCACCCGTCCACCCCTCCCTCACCACCCTGCACCTCTCCCACTGCCCCCTCCTTACCATTGGCTTCCCTCTCCCCTCCTCCTCATCCTCTCCCTCTGCCTCATCTCCTCCTCTTCTCACTCCTCCCTCTTCCCTCCTCACCTCCTCGCGTCCTCACTCACAACGACCTCTGCCACTCGCGCGGCGCCACGCTTCCTCCTCCTCCGCACCGCACCAGCCTCCACCGCACTCCACTCCTCCTCCACGCCCTCACACCCCGCCCTGCGGCTAGCTGTGGTTACAAGCAGCAGTATCCCTCACACACCTCCACCTCTCCTCTGCTGCTGTCTCTGACGCCCTTGTGTTACACCTCGCCCACCCCCGTCCCCACACGGTATGCCAGCTCCTCACCACTCTCCACCGCACTCTACTCCCCCTCCACGCACACACAACCCGCCCTGCGAGCTGAAGTGGTTACAAGCAGCAGTATCACCCTCACACACCTTGATCTCTCCGGCTCACTCTGTCTCCCCTGCTCATTCTCATCCTGCCGGCTCACTTTGTTTCCCCACACTCTTCCAACCCCTTCCCGTCAACCCTGCCATTACCCTCTCTCCCGCTCCCAATTCCTTCCCCGACACCCACCCGTGAGGGGTTGAAATGTTCCACCCGTCCCCCTCCTACCCTCTCTTTCCCCCACTCTCCCTCGCCCTTTTCCTTACAATAATCCTCCCTTTCCCTCATGCCAACCCTCCCTTTCCCCCTGTACTCACCCATCTCTCCCCCTGTTTACTCTCTATTCCCCTTCGTTCAACCCTTTTCCACCCCCAAGTCCTCTCATTTCCCCTGTTCGCACCCCTCCTTAGCCCTTGCTTACTTGCTTCCTCCTTTGCTCACCCCCTTCTCCACCCTGCTCACTCACTTTCCCCTTTTGCTGACCCCCTTCTCCACCCTGCTCACTCCCTTTCCCCCTTTGCTCACCCCTCTGCCTTGTCCACTCCTCCCATACATGCCCTTCTGTACCTCCACCTCCACCCCTCGCTTATTCTGCCATATCCCCTCTTTGCTCCCTGTTCCATCACAGAACCATGCTTGTACAGGTGCCCAGCACCATGGGTCGTGGCATGACAGGAGTGGATTGAAATGTTCCACCTCCTAGCTTTGTGCATGTGCCTATAGTCCACTCTTGGAAACCTATAGCTTGCTTTGTTGCACTTCCTTGTTGCACATGACCATTAGTCCACTCTTTGTTGCACTATGTGCCTAATGGTTATGTGCATTTCTGGTCTAGAACACAAAGTTGTGCATTATGAGAAGCATCCAACATCAATATATGACAGCTATTTGTGATACGGTACCACTATCATCAAACAACAAACACATCACAACTGGATGCATGGCAGACCTGTGTTGGGCTGAACGCCTTAGGATCTTTAGTAGAGTTCAAGTCTGAGTAAATGATGTAGTAGCAGAAGCGTTTGAATAAAGTCCTATGAACCACCTTGCGCTAGTATGTGAGGGCAAAGTAAGTTAATTAAAGCAAAGAGATACAGGAATATATATATGAGTACAGAGAATATGAAGAGACATAATTGTAACTGTTTTACCGTCACCCCCCGGATATAAGCGCCACCCTAGGATAAGCGCCTGGCGCTTCTAATTGGCATATGGCGCTTATATCCCCTGCTCGATTATAAGCGCACCCCCTGAAAAAACTTGTTTTATTATAAGCGCACGTAAACTTATTTTTTTTAAATGTGTTCAAAACGCTTTAACGATTTCTACTTTAGCAGGCAGATGTTTTGCAGATTCGGTTCCCTTCACATTCGGACCCTGCACTGGATTCGGGTCCAGTCAGCAGGAGCTGTCATGAGCTGTCAGGAGCTGGATATGAGTCAGATTGGATGTACCTCCCTGCGCGCGCGAGAATTTCACAGACGACCCCATGTAACTTCGTCTCGATTGACAAGGCAAGCACGAGATCTACAGCATGGTGTTCAAAAATATATAAAAACATATATGTCATTTTATAAACGCCGGCGCTTATAAATTTACTCGATTATAAGCCCACCCCCCTAAAAAAACCTGCTTTATTATTGCCCCCCATAGGGGTATATCCGGGGTATGACGGTACTGTTGCGGTTCGATACAGTGCGACTCGGGCAACTGCTCAATGTCGAGTCAATTGTGTGTCCTTGCTATCGCGCTGCGTCAGGTCAAAGGTCGCTGACCTTTGACTTTCTCGTAACCTCCAGCGGTTACGTTAATCTCCGAGGGTTGACTCGCGGTGCTTCGATTTGAGCTGCTTCGCTTGTGTCTTGAGTTTCGACACGACAGAGGCGCTTAAGACTATTTGTTCCCAACACTCCCCTTCGCTTCTGGAGTGTCGCTGATGGTGACGTGGCTTTGTCCAGTCAGCAGCATGCAGTACTCGCACTTCTGTTTTCCGAGCTTCTCGGTCAAGTAGTCAGCTGCCATCTCAGACGTGGGACAGTAGGATAGTTTGAGTTTCCCTTTCTCGATCTCGTCTTTCACGAAGAAATATCGCAGGGCGATATGCTTCGTTCTGTTCGCGAATCCGCTTTTGTTGGCGATGCGAATCGCAGATTGGTTGTCGCAGAACACAGTGAAGTTGGGTAACTCGGCTAACTTCGCTTCTTCCAGCAGCTCGCGAAGATAGAGTCCTTCCTTGGTGGCTGAGCAGAGGGCGATATATTCTGCTTCAGCTGAGGAGAGAGCGATTAGTTCCTGCTTGCTCGATTGCCAGGAGATAGGTCCGATAGGTTCGAGGCGGTAGATGTAGCCAGTGCGGGAGCGTCTGTTGTCTGAATCGTCGGCGTGATCGGCATCGACGTAGCCGATTAGTTTCGTCAGTGTAGTTTTACTCTTGTAGTATGTCAGGCCGATCGACGAGGTGCTCACGAAGTAGTGGAGAGCGCGGTCGAGTTCCGCCAGGTGTTCTGTTTCGGGCCTTTTGAGATAGGTAGCAAGTTGACTTGCGGAGTAGGACAGATCTGGGCGGCAGGTGACGGCTGCGAAGAGAAGGCAGCCCAGCTTCCTCTTGTAGTCGCGTATTCCGGCGGTTTTGAGTAGAGCGGGACCTCCTTTGTCGTTCCCTGCCGTGTAGCGGTATGGCGTGGAGATAGTGGTAGGTGTGAGCGAGAAGCGTTTGGCGATAGTGTCAGCATACTTTTCGGCGCTGAGATAGATCGCGTTCTCTTCTTCGCGGATGTTGAGTCCGAGGTACTGAGTGACGGTAGAGGAGACCATGACTGTAAGATCCCTCTGCAGCTCCCCTTCGAACCAGGTGGTGACGTCGTCGGTGGAGCCAATGTAGAGTAGGTCGTCGACGTAGACGATCAGCAGGATATAGTCGGCGTTTTTGGTGAGTCGATACATTCCTTGGTCGTGAGGTAGTTGGCGGAATCTGATGCGAGTGAGGCGAGTGTGTAGGTGCTGTTGCCACAGCCGCGGGGCTTGTTTGATACCGTAGAGCGATTTCAGTAGCTGGCAAACTTGGTTAGGTTCCCGGTGGGTACCGTGTGGGAGCTCGACGAAGATTTCGGCGTCGACGGGTGCGTAGAGGAACGCGTTGGCGACATCGATTTGTCGCAGTTTCTTCTTCTTCATAGCGGCGATCGCGAGAAGAATTCGGAGTGAGGTATGTCGGCTGACCGGGGCGAATGTCTCGGTGAAGTCCCGTCCGTGTTCCTGGTCGAATCCACGCACGACCCAGCGTGCTTTGAATTTCTCGATTGTACCGTCTGTGAGAATAAGCGAACAGGAATGTGTGAACTAGAAGTGAAATGAGTACAAGTAGTAAACCCTAGAATTGTGTACCCCCTATAGGCTAACCCACTGTAGCCTACACAAGCATAACATGTATAATGTTTGACACACCCCCATAGACAAAGTGGGGGAGAACAAGGGGTCACAAGACCAGTCAAGCAAAGCAAAGCAAGCTCAGGGTGGATCACAAAGTCACCACACAGTCCGAGCACAAGAGCAGGGCCAGAGGCCAGTTCACATGCAGGAGTACAGACACATATATATAAAACTAGACAAGCAAGAGCAGGTATATATATATGTCACAGTACAAGTAAAGTCAAGAGGAGAGCAAGTGAGGCAAGACAGGCACAAGACCCAACTGGGTGCAAAAGCGCTGATGGTCACAAGGCGCGAGTGCCTTGGTGAACACATCAGCAGTGTTGGCCTCAGAGGCCACGTACGCAAGCCGCAACTGTCCACGCAGCTGTAGCTCACGAGCAAGGAAGTAGCGGAGAGCAATGTGCTTCGTTCTGTGCTCCAAGCGCTGCTCTCGACACAAGGCCAGCATGGCCTTGTTGTCTACGTACAGCACTGGAGGAGAACGAGGCGGCTCTCCAAGGTCAGTCAGCAGGTAGGTGAGCCAGCGAAGCTCCTGTGCAGCCATGGCCCCGGCGTAGATCTCAGCCTCACAACTGGAGCCGAGAACTGAAGACGAGCGAGTAGACCGCCACGAGACAGAGCCGGAACCAAGGCTGAAGGTGTAACCCTGTGACGACCGCTGCGTAGCCTGGTCGTCAGCCCAAGAAGCGTCCGCGTGGCCTGTAAGGACCACTGGACTCCGCCCTCCAAGCACTAGCCCCATGCCCGACGTACTGCACAGGTAGCGCAATACCCTCTTCGCTGCAGCCATGTGCTCTGGTCGGTGTCTCCCAGGAGCAACATAGCGTGCAAGGATGCTCAGAGGGTATGCAAGGTCAGGTCGAGTGCAGGTCATCAGGTACATGAGGCAGCCAACAAGCTCTGCATACGGACCACTCGACTCTACGGACTCATCCGAAGGCAGAGCTGAGAGTGAGTGGCGAGTAGGCAGAGGAGTGGCCTGAGGCGAGGAGTACGTGAAGCCGAAGCGCTGAAGGACCTGCTGCACCATGTGTGACTGAGTCAAGGTAATGGTGCGGCGTGCTCTGTCCCGAGTGATCTGCAAGCCAAGGTAGCTGCGCAGTTCACCCAGGTCTGTGCACGTGTGTCTCTTCAGCAGTTCGGACTTCACGTAGGCGAGTCCAGCAGTGTCCGCTGTGGCAAAGACCAAGTCGTCGACGTACACGAGGATGTAGAACGGCGGCAGTGAGGTGTCGGTGCGCAGAAACAGCGACGAGTCAGCAGTAGAAGGAGCAAACCCAAGAGCCGCAAGCGTAGTCCTCAGTGTGTCGTGCCACTCACGCGGTGCCTGGCGGAGACCGTAGACTGGCCGTCGGAGGCTCCACTGGGTGCCAGGAGGGAAAGTCCCAGTGAAGCCAGGTGGAC